CTCCTCCTCCCCTCCTCCTCCTTCTTCTCTCTCTCTCTCTCTCCCCCTCCCTCCCTCTTTCTCTTTCTTTCTTTCCAGTGTCTCACTCTGTTGCCCAGGCTGTAGTGCAGTGGCACAATCACGGCTCATCACAGCCTTTACCTCCTAGGCTCAGGCAATCCTTCCACCTCAGCCTCCCAAGTAGTTGGGACTGCAGGTGCACCACCACACCCAGCTAATTGTTTGATATTTTTTTAGAGACGTGGTCTCGCTATGTTGCCCAAGCTGGTCTCAAACTCCTGGGCTCAAGCAATGCTCATGCCTCGGCCTCCCAAAGTGCTGAGCCATTGCACCCAGCCTTCAACAGATTTTCAATCAGTGTTCATGTTTAGTACTCATATCGCCATGCCCAAAGATACATGGGGCTGACAGTTCCATAGTCTTTGGGTTATTCTACAGTATAAGTGAGGTTGCTTATCAGCTTTCCTCACTCCTAGTTTAGAACTAAGCGTTCTCCCACCTGCTAATTTTGTCATCCTTTTCCCATTTGCTTTCCAATTTAAGAAACTTTGTGGGCTGTTGTCTCTTTTCCTGTTTTCTTTAGTGTTTAAGTCTTTTTAATAACTCTTTTTATTGTGTTTTAGTGAGCTTTCAGGGGAGGGTAGAAGTTAAGTATCAATCTTCCAATTTTAACCAAAAAAAAAAAAATCAAGACTTTTATCTATACAGTAGAGACAAAATTCCCGTTTGAAAGAGAAGGGCAAGGTAGAGCAACGATAGGGTCATAAATGCCCCTAGGAGCCTCAAAAATCTACCCACATTAAAATTCCCTGGGAAGCTTTGAAATCTCAAATCACACTAATTGGCCTAAGGATTACCCAGAGGAATTCTCATTTCAGTTCATTCAAGTGAGCATTTAAGCAATCACCACAAATCATTTAATCTTTGTACAATTCAACCTCCTTCATACTCTTTACCTCTAGGAACCAGGGTCACTGCAAAGAAGGCAGCCAAAGTTGAAAAATAGGTGCCTCAAAGGAAAATGTAGTAATTATGCCTCAATCTGTACTCTGTAAGCATCTATTCCTCAATGATTCTTCACTGTCTATACATACAACTGAGAAAATATCAGATCATGATTGTCTATCAGTTAGACAGAGACTGCCAATCTCTGTTATATTAGACTGTCTTTGATCTGATTAACCTAAACTCTCACATAGAAATGCATTATCTGAAAAGGAACACTTCTACACTGCTGGTGGGAATGCAAACTAGTACAACCTCTTTGGAAGGCAGTATGGTGGTTTCTGAAAGAACTAGAAATTGAGTTTCCATATGACCCAGCATTTTCCCTATTGGGAATATACCCAGAGGAACTCAAATCATTCTACAAAAAAGATACCTGCACACACATGTTTTTTGCAGCTCTATTCACAATAGCAAAAACATGGAACCAACCATGTCAACCCATTGAAGCTGGACTGGATTTTAAAAAGTGGTACATATACACAACGGAATATTATGCAACCATAAAGAAGGACAAACATGTGGACTTTGCAGCAACTCGGATGAATTTAGAGTCGATTATACTCAGTGATCTATCACAGAAACTCAGAACAGAGTACCGTATTCTCACTCATACGTGGAACTTGAACCATTATAATACTATAAGAAAGCGATTGACAGTAGTGGGGAACTGTCAGGGGAAGGGTGGTGGGATTGGCAGTTGAGGGAAACTACTAGGGGAGAGAGGGGCATACCTCATCAACAAGGGTACCTGCATAATCAACGTTTATATACCGAACCCTCAATTGTACTCCACATTTTTATAATAAAAATAGAAAGAAAGAAATGCACTCTCTGGCAGGAAGCGGTGGCTCACACCTGTCATCTTAGCACTTTGGGAGGTTGAGGAAAGAGGATGTTTTGAGCCCAAAAGCTCACAACCAGTCCGAGCATCATAGCAAGACCCCCCACCTCTACAAAAAAACTACAAAAAAGAAAGGAAGGAAGAAAAGGAGGGAGGGAGGGAAGAAACGTACTCCCTGGCTGTTTTTTAACCTTGGAATCTCACTTAGGTCACTTGATAGATTTTCTTTTCACTATCTACTTCAGTGAGTATAAAGAATTCAACAACTGATCCCAAATTAGAGATAAGCAGGAAAAACAAGAAGTTTCCCACTGAAAATCCCCAAAGGATCCTCCACATTTTACTGCTTTTTTCATGTTAGGGACAGCCAGGAAGCATCTCCTTTGACTTCGGTAAGGAGTTTCCCAACTAAATTTAACACAGCACCACCCCATCCAAAAAACATGTTTTGAGGAAGATTTTTTTTACCTAACAAAAGAGACATGAAGTTATATAGAGAGATAAGTCATATTAAATCAAGACTATTAAAATTCATTACAATTTAAGTGAACAAATTCCGTTTTATACTGCAAACATATTCTAGTAGATTAAAGAAACAAACCAAAGGTGTACTTGCTTTGCAATAGAAGGGAGATTAAATGGGAAAGAATAGCCCAGGAAAAACATATCAGGTTATAGTGTACTTTTCAGAAAAAGTTTTGGTGTTTCTTATCATCTATAACACAAACTGTTTTTTCCTCTGCTCTCACACTACAACAGTCCATACAGAAGACCTCTATGACCAAAATGTGTAGGGATTTCTCCACATACACCAAGCAAGCAATCAATGACACTGGGGACACTAGCTAGAAGTCTTCCCGTTTAGCTCAATTATGACACTACCTGGAGATAGCCTCAGAAAACACAGGTCAGGGTCTTGGTCCCACATATCTGCTCCCTTCTTCTTCTTCTTCTTTTTTTTTTTTTTTGAGTTGGAGTCTCACTCTGTCGCCCAGACTGGAGTGCAGTGGCA